TCAACAACAGGACCCATCGTCAACATGGGTGGGATCAGGGGGTGAGGCCAGACCACTGTGGGTGGTGGGAGACGCCTGGCCCGGTGATTAGAAGCCAGGGGCTGTGATGAAGAGGGGCCAGGTTGCGAAGAGACGCAAGGGCATTTGGAGAAATCCTGGGCTCTGAACCACAGGAAGCTTTCCAGCAAAGGGGGAGGGCAGGTCAGAGATTGGCAGGTGCCAAGGGAAGGACCAATGACATTTGTATGGCAGGTAGCTAAAAATCTCTTTGCCTCGGTTCCCTCCTCTGTGAGATGACCTTAATGATACCTGCCTCGTGGGCTGTTGTGTTAGTAAAATGGAGTGTGTGTGCAGCTTCGTACATTATAAAGCAAAACACACGTATTGTTTTTATTGGAACACTCGCAGGTTTGAAAGGCGAAGCCGCTTCTCAACCTGCTGAGTCAAGAGGATTGAATTTGGTACTGCCCAGGAATATTCTCCGTGGGACTGGGTTGCATTTAGGCAGTTGGCTGTCTATTCTTGTCCCTCTGGCCCTCCCTGAATTCTCACTTTCATTTTCTGCACTGTCCGAGGTTGCCGGTTAAATAGGGTTTCAAGGGGCTGTCCTGAGGCCTCCTTACCCATCAGTTTCTATCTCGGCAGCGGCAGAAACGTGCTGCCATCAGGTGGCCGCTGCTGAGCACAGCGCCTCAGCAGGGGGGCAGGAACACGTCTTTTTGACACCCGAAGCCGATGCCACTCTGCCAAGACTCAGGCAGCTGAAAGACTTCCTCGCTTTTTTGAATGTCTTGAACCTGGAACTTGAGAGTTAGCTGAACCCTTCGAGAGTCTTCACTAGGGCCAGGAGACCTTCTGACACACTGATGTGGGCGGGGGTCTGGGCGCCCAGCACAGTTCCTCTTCGCTGGGCAGGATTTCCTGTTACTCAGAATGAAGGAACCTTGACTTCATCTCCAGGCCCCACCCCGCCCTCCCCCATCACACTGGCACTAAGTGAATCTCCGCGTACTCAGGCTGGAGGATGGTGAGTTGTCACTCCTCGTGTGCCTGGGCACCACGGCCGGAGTGGCCTAAGTGGCTGGGCCCTAGTGAGAAGGCCCTGGAGACAGGGCTCCAGATGAGCCTCCAGGGGAAGCCTCACCTCTTCCTCTGGCTTGACTGAGAAGCAGATACAGATGGTGGGAGTGGGGGGGTGGTAGTGAGGGGATGTAAGAGAGAGCCACCTTCAGGGGTGACTCTGAGCACTTGTGTTTTCTGAGCCTCTGCTGTTAACTAGCAAACAAAAAGCTCTGTGAAAATATAAGGTTTTGGGGAAGTGGCGATGGGGCCAAGAGGAAGTGAGCGAACCGATTTTGTGCAACTCTGCAGGCAGCAGTGGAGTCAGTGAGAGAGCCCTGGGCAGAAGCCGCCACCTTCTGCCTGCCCGACATCCTGTCTCAGCCGCTGCCTGGACCAGTTCTGGAGCTCCAGGGTCCTTTCTTTGGGCTCCTGCTAACACTGCGTCTTGCTGTCATTGTGGTCTGGCAGCTAGAGTTTTCTAGGCTTTTCTGAGAAACTGCAAAGGATCAGATGAACCCTCTCTCCTGCCAGCCTCTCAGGATGTTGCAGCCTTGCGGTTGAACCGTGCCCAGTTGCAACAGGCCCAAGTAGGCACGAGGCCGGGGGTCGGGACAGAAGAGGCCTTTCCCCGGGACTCCAGTCACTTTTCCTGTGATTCAGGCCAATGGTTGCTCCCATTTCCTCGCCTCCCAGATGAAGTTCAGGTTCCGTTAGTAGGACTGAAAACAGCCATGGCCCTTCTTTTAGGTGGGAAAATCTCCTGAACCACAGTTCACTTATAATTTATTTCATTATTTACAAAAATTTTTTTGGTCCAATAAATAGCTTTCTTTCTGGCCCAGAGCTCGCCTTAGTGCCCCAGCCCGGCCAGTGGCCTGCTCATGCAGTCGTGCCTCCGGTTCTGCCATCTCCTTCTAACTCAGCGCAGTCGCCGAATCTATGTTACACTTGTGCTTGTCCCCATAGTCTTGGTGGCCATATTTTTTTTCCAGATCTGAGAATATTAATCTCCTACTGATATTGATGATATGGCAACATCAAACCCAGGGACTCCTTGTACTTGTGAGAGCTTTGTATGGTTGTTCCTTTGCTCATTCGCCCACTGCAGCCTGTCGTTCAGAACCTGGGCTCTGAAGCAGGAGCCTGGGTTTGAGTGCCAGCCCTGCCACTGCCTAGCTGCGTGACCTTGGGCAAGTTATTCTGAACTTCCGATTGCTCGGCATTAATGATAGTATCTATTTTGTCAGAGAGCATCAGTGAGCATTGAATGAGACTGTGCATTTAGCATGCTGAGTGCTAAGCAGGTCTTAGCTGACTTATTGTTATATTATGTACCCAGTCTCAGTTTATGTCACCTGGTTCACCGAGGTGCTTTGCTGTTCATTAATTTATCAAAAATATACTGAATACCTATGGCCTGCCAGGCATGGTGATAGGGGCTGGAAACTCAGCGATGGAAGGTGGTGGTCCCTGCCCTCCAGGAACTTACATGGTAACAGGGCAGGGGTCATGGAAATACAGCACGCTGGGGTCCCAGAGGGGAGGTGGAGTGTGGGAAGTTTTCTTCAAGGTCCTGTTGGAGCACAGTCTTGAAGGAGAAGTGTTTTCTACGTGGACTTGGGGGAGAAGGGCCCTGCACGCCAGGCAGAGAGTGAGTGCGCAGGGCAGAGGGAGTGAAAGAGAGTGACTGAGCCATGAGTCGCTTGGCACGAGGGAGCTTATGGTTTCTGTAGAGCACCCAGGTGGCAGGAGACTGCAGAGGCTGGGGGAACCATCGCGGAGGGTGTAAGCCACTCCGAGGAGTCTGGACTTGATCCTGAGTGCACATGAGAGTAAACGGTTTTTAGGAAGGGGAAGGGGTCCTCCTGGGGGTTGAGTTTCAGTGTGATCGCTCTGGTTGCCTCAGGGCAGGGGCTAGGAGGCTGCAGAATCTCCTGCTTGAGAGATGATGGGATGAAGCGAGTTATCCAAGAGTGGCTGTGGACTGTGGGCGCAGGTGGGGGAATAGGAAGATGAGGTGACCTTCTGCCCAGCCCCTCTGTCCTCTTTCCCGGTTTGCCTTTTGGTTTTCAATCTAGAGTGAAAATGACACTCAGGGCCCAGTCCTGGGCCAAAATATTAAGTGACTATGAAAGTCTTTTCCTTCCCCTTTCAAATCGCCCTCCCTGAGCAGTGATAGACTGTCCATTCGGAAAAACTGAAGGAAGGGCTTCTCCTGTTCACAGAAAAGAAGCCCCCACGATACGTGCAGAGAACTCTGGAATTAGAATTCTCAGGTGGGCAGAGGTGGCTTGGTTGGGCCCATGTGTGTCCCCTGCTTCTCTTCTCTCCAGTGGGTTGTTCTTTCATGTGTTCTCTTGTCTGCAGCGTGCTGTGTTTGGACACAAAGCCCTTTCCTTGGTTTATCTACCCCAGCTGAGATGGGCTGATCCTAAAGAACTCACCTATGTACTGGAGAGCAGGGAGGGGGAATTTTTACAGTGATTTACCAAGAGTCAAAGATTACTTTATTGTGAGAAAGGCTTTTCCTGGTAGCATGCAGCCTTCTAGAAATTGCTCTTGGTAACTTCCCCTCCCAAGCAGAGATAACGAAAGCAGTTGCAGTAGAAACATTTATGAGAGGCCACATTGGAGGATGCCGGTATTGCAGGATTGTGGGCGGAGCTAACATTGGAAAATGGTAGAACGATGGAAGTGCAGTTGGAAAGGACTGCCCCTTAATGTCTGCGCTGAGGAGTTTGCTCAGGGAGAGATCACATGTCTGGCAGGGACGAGCATGGTCCATAGTTCAGACTTGGACCAACTTGGGATATAGCAGTGAATCGAAGGGTGTAGAAGCAGAACAACTAGGAAGAGGGACAGGCCCTGCGCCAGGGCATCTCTCTAATGCTCCACTGACAAGTGTTTGTTAGTAAACACAACAACACTGTTGTTATTGCTGAATTTTGGTTTTGGCTGTGCATATATAGGTGCTTTCAATTTGCTATGTGGGCTGATGTCCAAATGTTCCTTCTTGCTGTCTCCCTAACATGCCTGGTTAATATAACCCCTTTGGGCAGTGCTGAGAAGCACCTGAACCAGGTGGCCTCCCTAAATAACAATTGCATTCAAGTGTCTGGTTCCCAGAAGTTGGTGACCAGGTGAACACCTTGAGAGAAAGGGGTTTAACTCCCAGACAGATGCCTGTTCCTGCAGGGGGTGCTGAGGCTCGGGGAGTGGGGTGGCAGGATATGCTGTGTGATTATGTGCACATGTTGCCTTTCCCCTCCTTTCTGCATGTCTGGTTATCCTGCTGTCCTGTTGTTCCTCAAATAGCTTTGACCCAGGCTGGTGCTAGTGTGAGAGCATGAGAGACTTTGCTGGGCGTGTGGACTGAGGAGAGAGACTGAGGCTCAGCAGATGTGCTGCTTACGGGAGGTGCTTAGTTTTTGCTCTTTTGAGCAGAGAATCTTTGCTTGTCCCTTTGACAAAGGATTTTAGCTGCAAAGGCTCGGTACCAGCTGTGCTCAGCTAAGAGTTGACTCATACAACTGAATTCTCAGAGCTTGCTGTTATGCATTTAGAAGGAATAAGCTCTGGCTAAGGTTAGGAAACTGCCACCAAAGTCTATTTCTTGTTCTTCTGCTTCTCCCATCCGCCTCCTTATAGGACCTTTCCGCTAACCCAGCAGAAAGCAGGAATATTGCAGAGTTGGCACTCCCAGCTTCTCTCCCACCCAGTCCTGTACCCTCATTGGTCCCCGAATGAATGAATTCTGATACCTAATTTCGTTTTGACCCTTCTCCTTGCCACTCACACCCCCTCTTCTGCTCTTTCCAACTTTTCGCTGAGAGTTCTGGGCTCTGTACTTCCTCTTGGTCCATCTCACTTCCTGAAACAACACTAAAGAGGGTTGCTTATCTCGACGGAACACAAAAAGCCCTCCGGGGACAGGGGAGGGCAGAGGCCTTGAGGGTGTCTGTCTGGGGAACTAAGAGCAGCAGTACTTTCAGATTCAGCCCACACAGAACTATCCTCCAGGCCTCTAGGAGCCCGGGGGATGTGCAGCGGGCAGAGGGGCTGGAAGTGATCTCCCTGTGATGGGCCCTTTCTAAGGAGAGAGGTCTCCAAGAGATCACCCCACCGGAGAAAAGAAGGAATGAGCGAGTTGTGAATTTTAGACTGTTGTTGCACATGGACCTCTGGGAAGATGTCTGGCAAGAGCTAGGCCCACTGGCCCATAAGGATCCTGCTGGCTCACCTGTCACCTTGGAGGCACCTCTGGGAAGGCAAGATGCCCATCAACAGCACTGTCCTGTCGCTGGCCAACTATACCTACATCACCATGGAGATTTTCATCGGGCTCTGTGCCATAGTGGGCAATGTGCTGGTCATCTGGGTGGTCAAGCTGAACGCCAGCCTGCAGACCACCACCTTCTATTTCATTGTCTCCCTCGCACTGGCTGACATTGCTGTTGGGGTGCTGGTCATGCCTCTGGCCGTTGTCATCAGCCTGGGCATCAGAGTCCACTTCTACAGCTGCCTTTTCATGACCTGCCTGCTGCTGATCTTTACCCACGCTTCCATCATGTCCTTGCTGGCCATTGCTGTGGACCGGTACCTGCGGGTCAAGCTTACTGTCAGGTAGCCTGTGGGATGGGGGGAGGCAGTTGCAGAGGCACCTGCGAAGTGGGGCTACAAAGTTCAGATCCCAGAACTTTTGAGTGAAAAAGAACCCATGTTGGTCCTTGAGGTTGAAATAGGGCAACTAATGTCCTTTATACGATATGGTCTGTGAGGTGTTGAGCGATGGTGACCTGAGACTCAGGAACCAGGATCAGGAATGCTCCAGTCCCTTCTCCACTGAGTAGGGGCGGATGCTCAATCCCCCAGGTAGCTAAAGATGATGAAGTCTTTGATGCATCTTTAATTAGTAAAAAATGCTCTTGAGTTTTAGCAATGTTAGAACCCTACCAGATAAGATTCTTATTTTAGGAGAAGCAGACAGATAAGAATGAGGGGAGACCAACGGATGGTTCTTTTGCTTTGCAAATGTAGGTTATTATTTCATCTTTTTGCTTTATATTCTGTGCCTGCCTCAAGGTTGAGGAAAGGATTCTTAGAATATATATATTTCTCCTTCTCTTCCTCCTGCTCCTCCTTCTCTGGTGTGAGACCTTATTTACTCAAAAATGTTCCTCACTGCCCACAGTAGCACCAAGCTTACGTGTGGCCCTCTGAAGAGAACAGACGGCCAAAGAGAGACATCTAATTCCCCAGGTGTCCTGAATTACACTGGCCTCCTGTTTCTCCTCTCTTCTCTTGAGAAAAGAGCATGGTGAGGGGACTACAAACAAGCTCTAGAGATAAACAAGTGTGGGTCGAAATACCAGATCTTGAGATTTGATCTTGGGCAAGCTATTTATCTTTTCCTCCTTCAGTTTCCTCATCTGTATCACAGTGGTTAAGATGCTCTCAACTCGGACTTACCTGGTTGCAATTGTAGCCCCACCACTTCTACCTTGTATAAGGTACTTGTCTGTGTTTCAATTTCTTTACCCGTAAAATGGGGATAAATAATTGTACTTTCCTCATAAGATTAAATGAGTTAGGGTACGTAAAGCTCTTAGAAAAATGCCTGGTATACAGTTTATGCTCAATAAATGGTAGCTATAATTCCTATTATTTTCACAATTGCCATCAATAAAACGGAGATTATCATAAAAATATCCCTGGTTTGTTGTGAGATTTAACTAAGATAAAATGTACTGAGTGTATAGTCGGTATTTAACGTATTAGTTTCCTTTTTGCAGTCTGTGTAGGCTGCTGTCAGGAAGAATGGTTTAAGGAGAAACAATGACTCTTACTGGATAAGTTTTTCGAGGGCTCTGAAGCAGTTCAACACAACCTTCACTACTGCACTGATTCACTGCACTCAAACACCATGTATGGATGCCCCCACAAATAGAGAAGCGGGGCAGGCACAGGTAGAGGGGAAATGTGGGAGAGCGATAGTATAATTTATGAGCATCTGCACAACAGCCAAACAAAACAGTGCAGAGCGTGACAGGCAACCACATTTTGAGAAGATCATTTCTCACCAGGCAGGTGATCCCAGGAGACTTAGATAAATCTTACCTCTCACAAATTGAAGAATTCTTGGGCTGGAAAGGGAAATGACTCTAGGCAACATATTCCCCATCCATTCTAGGTTGTTCTTCTTTAGAAGATTCTCCAGACAAGTTTTCTGGATTTTTCTCTAATCATTGTCTGCTCATCCTGTCTTCATATCCAGTAGAGTTTGGCTGAAATGGCCATAGAGTATCACTGCTCTCCTCTCTTAGTAGTGGATTGGGGAATTGAGGAGTGTGTGCTTATGCACCCTCTCTCTCTCCTTTGCTGGTGCCATCTCCTTCCACCCTTTAGCAATTCCTGCTGTGAACTCACTAGCTTTTCTCATCCAAACAGATACAGGAGGGTCACCACTCAGAGAAGAATATGGCTGGCCCTGGGCTTTTGCTGGCTGGTGTCATTCCTGATGGGATTGACCCCCATGTTTGGCTGGAACATGAAAATGACCCCAGGATATCACAGAAATGCCACCTTCTTCTCCTGCCAGTTCCGTTCGGTCATAAGAATGGACTATATGGTCTACTTCAGCTTCTTCGCCGGGATTTTAATTCCCCTAGTTGTCATGTGCGGCATCTACCTTGACATCTTCTACATCATCCGGAATAAACTCAGTCAGAACTTTTCTAGCTCTAAAGAGACAAGTGCATTTTATGGACGGGAGTTCAAGACGGCTAAGTCCCTGTCTCTGGTTCTCTTCTTGTTTGCTCTGTCCTGGCTGCCGTTATCCATCATGAACTGTGTCATCTACTTTAATGGTGAAGTACCGCAAGTTGTGTTGTACTTGGGCATCCTGCTGTCCCATGCTAACTCCATGATGAACCCTATCGTCTATGCTTATAAAATTAAGAAGTTCAAGGAAACCTACCTTTTGATCCTCAAAGCCTGTGTGATCTGCCATCCCTCTGATTCCTTGGACCCAAGCATTGAGCAGACTTCTGAGTAGTTATCCATGAAAGATGACTCTCTGTCTCATTGACCTTCAGGTTGACCATCAACAAACACTTTAGGGCCTGGCCTATCTGCCTGGGCCAAGGGCTTTTTGCATCATTGATTCCATCTGTTGAGGTGGGGAGCATTTGGCTGGCTGCCTCCTCTCATACCTCCCCTACAATGTTCTTCCTCCACTTCAATTGTTTTTCTTGTCTTTCTTCCCGAATTCAATTTTCTGGAGGCCTGACTTGAGGATGATGTATTATTTTACTATTGCCTGTGTTCCTCCTTCCCAAACAGAAGAAGAAGTCATAGAGCCTGAAAGGTGCCTCATTGACTTACCAACAAAAGACTCTAATTGGTCTGGACACGTATGTGATAGTGACTCAGTTCCACGCCATTGCGGAATTTAGCAAAGAATTCGCTCTTGGAAGATGCCTAGGAGATGGTACGAACAGAAGGAGTGAACTGAGTTTAAGGAGGATTTAAACTGCTGCTGAATTTACCTGTGGTTGTGTTTGAGTAAATAAAAGATGATAGCTAACTGTTGGGTGGTTCTTTGCTGGGGTCTGAGGCCTGAAGGCCCAGCTGGCTGTGCCTGACACTCAGCCTGGAGCCATGTGGCATGCTCACCTTCCTACCCCTTGCCCCAGAACACCCTGCTCCTTATTCCTGGGATAATCAGAACATTTGCCAAATTTATGAACCACTCATTCGCTGTTAGAGAAGGAATCCCAATCATTTCCCCTGGTGTTTCATTCTAACAGGAGTAGTGGGTGCAGGCAAAAAGACACAACGGGCAGCTATTGCTTGTCGAGCACTTTCTGTGCACTAAGCACTTTGCATGCATTATCTCTTTTGATGCTGACAATCTGTGAGGTAGGTGCCACCATTATTATCACCACTATTTTGCAGAAGAAAAATCTGAGGCACTGAGAAGTTAAGGAACTTGTCTATAATTTATTGGTTAACAAGTAGTAGAGCCAGGATTTAAGCTCAGCGCTGCCTTATGGGAGAAGCTGAGCTTCTTGCCACCTGTTCTCAGACATAAAGAGGAGCTCGTAACTTCATCAGGCTCACCTGATGTTCACTTAACAGATAGATGGGTACCAACTATAGTTTGTACACTTGAGGACTGCTGTTTTTTTTTTGCCTTAGCTACTATTGCTAATCTCTAATTAATGAGGATACTGGACAGGGTAGAGTGCCAGTCACGTTTGAGCATTTCTGGAATGCGCCTCCAGAAATTCAAGGTGGCATCTCTGGTTTGGTCTGTCCAAATTTGCAGCTGTGGATTCTCACTCCCAAGACAATATATTAACTTGACAAGAGCAGCAAAATAACAAAAATAATTCTGAGCCAGTCCTGAAAATTTATCCTAGACCTAATCTTAGGCCAGGGCCTGATAACAAAATTTATCTTGTTAACATTTCATTTCAGCAAAGAGTCCTTGTTTCTGTAACTGTCAGCCTAGGAAGAATCAAGAATTCTAGGCTTTTCCCCCTCAGTTAATTTTAGTTAAAATGCACCTCCAGGATGAGCCCCTGGGTTTATTCTATGGCTTCTGCTGATTCTGGCACACTGTTCTGTCCTGGAACAACCTTTGCCCAGTTGGAGAATTGAGAGGAAAGGCTGTTCAGCTCTCAGTCTCCCAGCAATCTTCATACCATGCTTCTTAATTTACAAATAAATTTCTAACATAGTTGCCATAGCAAAACTTAACCCTTGTCCTTTTTTTGAAACTTGGTTTAAAGTGACCACTTCCCTCAAGATAAAACAGCAATCTTTCCTGAATCTTTTGGTGTCATTAGGCAAGCTGTAGCTCCTCACTTTCAGAACCGCTTTTACTTTTTTCTTTTCTCGCCTCCTCCTCCTCCCCTTCCTCCTCCTCCTTCCCTTTCTTTCCCCTTTTTCTTTTTCTTTTTGATTACCACTGCTTAGCAAGTTCACTGATGGCTTGCAGGGAGTTGTGCTTTTTGTTTTGTTTTGGTCAGACAGGAATCTCCTGAGATAAGGTGTTTCACCAGCCCAGAAGAAGTCCTTACAGTAAAAATGTCTTTTAGAGTAAACTCAAAAAAGATGAACCAAGAGTCACTGGTGAGGAGCTTGGCTAGAAGTGATGAGATCCTCCCTGGTTTCAGGTTTAGAGAGCCCCTCTCCTGGCTAGTTTTCTTTCAGCTAAGCAGTCACCGGTAACTGTGGGCTTTTACTCTGAAGACATAAGGGAAAAAGACCACCCAGCAAAACTGAGGTTTGCTTCTTTCTTCTTCTCCATACGAATAAGCCGGAACAAAGGTGGATGTTGAGTAACTGTGGTTTTTTGTCTTATTATTTTTTTTTATTAAGTCAACTGTGGAAATAATTGGAGACCAAACTAATGAAAACAAACAAAGGCTACTTATTCTGAGCTTGTGATAGCAAGGGAGTCAGCCAGTCACTTGCATTTTGGCAGAGACTCAAAGGCAGGCAGAAGAGTAGAAAAGCTTTATAGTGGCGTAAAAATGTAAACTTAGGCACGTTAAAATTTGAGTGATTTTATTTGAGCACCCAGCAATTCATGAATCAGGCAGCTCCAGATGGCAACTGTTCAGCACACTCCACTGAGAGGGTGAAAGGGGAAACGCTTATAAGGTGTTTGTGGAAGGAAAACAAAATATATTTGATTGGTTAAAGTGGAAAGTCCTTAGAGGTTAGCTTGGTGGTTTCTGATTGGTTAAACTTGAGTTTTGTTTTACTGTGTACATTGAGCTGGGCTTCTGTTTGCTTATGTAGGATCCCAAGATGCTGGAGCCATGTTAGCCTAATGGCTTTCTCTCATCGGTCCTAAGTTGGAAGTGGGGACAAAAATTAGGGAAGTGGTCAGTTATTAATCAAGTCGGAGCAATTTCAGCATTGTCAGAGATAAGGACTACTTTTAAACAATATAACCACAATATCTGTATTACTTAATAATTATCTATTGCTGTGTAACAAATTACCCCAAAACTTAGAGGCTCAAAACAATAATCCTTTATTATCTCTTGTGGTTTCCATGGGAGAATTCAGGGGGCATCTTGGTTGAGTGAGTAGCTTGTATTCAGGGTCTCTCATGAGGTTGCTGGGTCTCCAGTCACTTGAAGGCTTGACTTGCCCGGAGGATCCACTCCCAAGGTGACTCGCATATGTCTGGGAAGCTGACGCTGACAAGTCGGTTTTTTCCCACACGGGCCCCTCCACGGCCTGCTTGAAAGTCCCCATGACATGGTGGCTGACTCCCCCAGAGGGAGCTGTGCGAGAGACTAGGGCATAACAGGCCACGGACTGGGAAAAAACCAAAAAAACAAACACACAAAAAAAGAGACTAGGGCAGAAGTTATACACCCTTTCTGACCTTGCTCTGAAGCCACACACTGTCACTTATGCCATATTTTGTGGATTACACAGTCCAACCCTGATTCAATTTGAGAGGGTACTACATGAGGGCGTGAACGCCAGGAGCTATCTTGCGGGCTGCCTATGACAATACCATTATCACAGGGTATTTAACGAAATTTAACAATTATTTCTTAATAGCATCACATTTTCTGAATTGTTCGCTTCAATAAGAATCCAAATAAGTTCACTCTATTACAATTAGTCAATATATCTACGCCCCTTTTAGCCCATAGGTCCTCCTTTTCCTTTTTCCTCGTGCAATCTATTTGTCGAACTCAGAAGTTTTCGATGAAGAGTTGATGAGGTAATGTAGGTAAAACGCCTACCATGATGCGGGTGTGCCGTGGCCCCTATGCTGATTTTGCGAGAATTGGAGGAAGGCTCCCCTTCCTCAACAGAGGACATTACTGCACAACCTGGACGACATCCACGTCTGGCCCTTGATGGGAAGTGCTAGCTCTGGGTGTGATAAGCAGCACCCAGCTAACTTCACTGGAGGGGTGGTTCAATAACGCCGGCTTTTCTAACGAGTGGTCAGAGCATGTGAGTCCTACTAGGACTCAGGAGAAGCTGCGGCTGCTGCATGAGAAGTCTCCTTGTTTTGTCCCAGCTCTTCCCAGGAAAGCTCAAGAAGTCTGGAGTCCGCAGCCCTGGCTGCTGACACCCAAACACCCACACTTCTGCCTGCTCACATGCTTCAGATTCCAGGCACACAGGCCACTGGCAGCTGCACACTCCACCCACTAATGCCCCCGCCAGTGAGGCTGCAGTGTCCATGTGAGTGTGGGGTTAGCTAGGGGTCTCTGTACTGGGATTCCTGTCACTGATGTAGGAATTGGGCCTCTGAGAGTGGTGGACAGACAGGAGGAGTGGCCTCCGATGATGCCAGGACCGTTAGCAACAGGACAGGGCACAACTGAGCACCTGCAAATGTATGCCAGTGATGGGGTGCATGTGTGTGCATGTGCTAAGTATGTACAAGGCCTGGTGTGCCAGAGAAAATTTATCTAGGAGAGAGATCTCCACTGTTGTTTGGAGTTCTGCCAGGAAGCCCAGAATTTTCTTAGTTGCCCCATAAGTAAGTTTCTGTCCATGAATGGCAACCCTCTGATGACCCTCTGATGAAGTACGCTTGTGCAGTGTACAACCTGGATACCTATATATGGCAGCACTGTTTGGGTTAACTGGTTCTTCTTCCTTTTCACTGGTCTGTTCAGACAGGATAAAACCATCTTAAGCTCAAACATATCTGTTTCCCTTAAACAGGTCCAGGATTCCTGAGATTCCCTGGATATATCCCGTCATTCCAGTTAAAGCTTTGCTTCCTTTCAGCCATGTGGCCCTTCATTCTGCTCTCCTTGGCCCTCTTTTCAGGTAAGATGGGGGTAGGAACATCTTCAGCTTCCATGCTGTGGCCTTTCCAGAGACCTTGCATTGGAGTGGAGTTCTTGCCTACTGGGAGTCCCTGCTTGTTAGCGCAAACCACCTAAATAGTGGATGGGAGAATAAAAGAGGCGAAAACAGGTCTTGTCCATATTAGTTCTTGTTCTTAGTTCCGATAAGAGCTTTGTGAGGAGTTTGAAACCTTTGGCTAAAATAAAGGCTCTGTATTTTCCTTCCGGTTTACCCAAGTTCCCCTTTCCCTTCCCCTACTCCCCTCAAAAATGTTTGTGCAGATGAATGAGGACACGACTTTCCCCTTTCTGCCCAAGACTGGCCTTGTCCCGGCTCTGTCACCCTTCAGTTGTACAACCTTCAGAGTCACTGCACCTCTCTCTGGGTCATCATCCATGCCTACAAATTGTGGATCACACGATCTTCCTTGTGTGGTTGTTATGAGAACAGAGTGACATCAGGGATGGGAGCCTGCTCTGTTGGGTGGCCCCACCCACTGTGAGCCGCGTTTGAGGAGCATGGGCGGGTCCCCAGCACACATCTGGAAGGCTGAGACGGGGATGGGCTCTGCTGCCCCATCTCTTCTCCTTGGTCAGACGTCGTACCAGCCCTGGTCAAGCTGGACATGGTGTGTACGACTTCCTCATTATGCAATATCCTGAGATGATAGGCTGTCTGTGTGGGTGTCGTACAGAGGAAACATGAAGTTCTTAGCTCCTAAGGACAGAACCTGAC